CCCCTCCACTGCCCCAGGTTGCCCCAAGCCTCATCCAGCCTGGCCTTGGACACTTCCAGGAGGAGGTATCTGCAAGTCCTCTGGGCAACCTGTTCCCATGCCTCACTAACCTCTCTGTGGAGATATATAGAAATATATGAAATACAGAACTATATATATGAAATATATATACTAAACACAGAACATACGGTACAGAAGCAAATGAACCTGCAAGGCGTGTATTTTTTCATACAGCCTGCTCAGACAACTGGGTGACTTCCGTCTGAAAGCATTGACGCCTTGACTATCTAATAAAAGACTGGGAGGGAGGAAGAAATGTGGCTGTGATGCCCCAGTTGGGAATGCCCGGGGGGGTGACCTGGTGCCTATCTGGTAGCATAGCATCTGCCTCACACCCACAGAATAGACTTTTAGTCACCAAACTTTTATTTTTTTAAAATCATTATAAAAACCTGAAATTTATATAGATTAAAAAAATTCTAGTGAAATAAGTAGGTGTTAAAAATGCTGAGTCATTTGGAATGGGATTTTTCTCCACAAATTGGTTTACCGCATGAGATTGAGTGCGGCAGTTTCATGCCCTGAAATGATTGCCAATTTCCAGTATTTAGAAGCTTCTTTGTGATGACTTCTAAAGCCTGTTAACTTACCAGGTTGCTGAAGGAGCCTCTCCTAGCATACCTGCACCCAGCTTTACCCTGTCAAACCACTTTTTAATTCCAGTTCAGTACACTTAGTGGTGCAGAGACTGTGGGAAGCATGACTGTGCCTTTCTTTATTTGCTGGGCGTTTAGACTGGGCAGTGTCAGCAGTGAATTAGTCTATTGGTGTATATGCAACTGTAGGTTTATATTGGAGATTAAGAAAGTTACAGTATATTTGTATTTTTCTGAAGTAATGCTACTATTCACTGTAAAGGAATTCTGTAAGATGGATATAAAAAATAACATTAATGAGCTACTAAAGCTAAAATGACAGGAACTTATGAAATTGGTTAAACATAAAAACCATTAAACTGTTTATTGAAGCTTCACAGATATACAGCAGCTAATGAGCATTTCTGCTATTTAAACAAGCCCAAATTGAACACACATTACATGGATACATAATTAGTCATGGCAGTCAAACACACACAGACTCACTTTTAAAGTTTTATTTGAGGAATCTTTTCCATTTGATTTGTTTTGTTAATTAAAACATTTTTCCTATATTCATTTATATTTTAATATTGTTTTTGCAAATATATAGTTTGCTGCTGCTTTTCCATTTCTGTGTGTTTGCTCTGCGAATCCAGTAAATTTGGAATATGTATTCAGAACTATCCTTTTGTTTGGTGTTATTTGTCTTAGCATTGCTGGATAGCACCAGAATAATTCAGTTGTGGGTTTTCTTTCATTCAGAAGGATCTCTTAAAATTATACATATAATATCACGCCAGGATATGAAGGAGATGGTAGGACAGCCACAGGATTTTACTTTGAATTTTCAAGAGAAAAGCTATGTTTGCTTTAAACTTTAAAAGGCATGAGGGTGCAGGGATTTGAAAGACACTCTTCTTTACCCCTATCTCAAATCATGCACCACCAAAGGTATCTACTTTGCTAATTGTTCAGTGTCAAACAGCAATTTGGAGAACCAGAGTCACCTCCTTTGAAAATGAAGTTTGGCTCTTAGACTGTCTCTTGCTCCTTGCAGAAGCAGAGAAGGGATGTCCCTTTCTGAAGACCAAAGCTCTTGCCTTCTTTCTGCAGGTGGTCTAGTAGGTGGTCCCTTCAGCCTCACAGTTGCCCCGGGTACCAGGTCCACATTGCAAATTCTTATATAATATGCTTTTAAATCATGCCCTTATTATTACTTAACCTAAATCTTGGGGTTTATTTAAAAAAAAAAAAAAACAAACAACCAAACCACCAAAAAACCCAGAAGGAAATAGCTACTAGATACCATGTCAACTTTGCCACCAGAGAAATGTTCCTTCCCAATTTTAAAAATACTGATCAGGCATACAAATCCCCAGAACCTGCAGAGACATTTCACGTGAAGATACATGGGGCATGTTTTGCATTCAAACTTTTGGTATAATTATGACACCCACTTTAGCAGCAGGGGGAAAAAAAAAAACCACCAGAAAACACCCAAGACAAAAGAACGAAAAACAAACAAAAAACCACCAAAAAAAACCCCACACCCAAACCACAAAACAAAGAAAAACAAAAAACAAAAAAACCCTGCAAATCCCAAAAAATCCAAACATAGATTTGAGAAATGTAATAGATCTAGGTTAGTAGAGGTAATACCCTATTTTTCCACAAGATGAAATAAAGTCAGAACATCTAGTTTCATATAATTTCTTCTGAAAAACACCTCCAAGAGTGTTACAGGCCCGACATGTTGCCATCTAACACCTTTGCTTTCAGTCTAGCATCTGTGACATTCAGTCCTGTCTCAAAGAAACAGAAGTTGTCTATTAAATCTCTGATACCAAATCCTGCAGCACCAAGATATTCCAAACTTGTCTTCACAAGCCTGATTGTATTTAGGCTTGCAAGAACTGTCTAGACCACATGCTGAGATGGTCTGCGTGCAATAAGTTATCCTATATATGACAAATATCAGATGATCAAAAGCTTTATTGAAGTACAGTCAGTCTGAGACATAAAGAGAAGGTTAATGTATTGATTTATTAATATTACTGAAGCATTTTTAATAAAATCCTATCAGCACTTCCATTAAAAAAGAAAAAAAAAGAAACAAACAAGCAAAAGCAAAAAAACCCTTATTTTTCAGACTGAAAAATGTCTCAATCTGAACACTGTGTTTGGTGTGATCTTTCAGTAATTTAAATATTTTTAAAGGAAAGCTTTTGATTGTGTTACTACACAAATATTATTTTTACCAAGCTAAGCCACAAGTATAATGCAGGATGTGAGGGATTATGCAAGCAATAGATCTTGAAGATAGATTAAATACTTCTGGTAGGTAAACCTGGTACAGTCTTTCAGCTAAAAACTGTCTTCTGTGGTTCTGGCTTCTGAACTAGTTGCAAAAAAATACTCTGGGTTCAAGTCCTTTGGATATATCCATGTTTATACCAGGGGTGAGGAGAACAGTGTAGGTGGGACAAGTAGGGGACAGTGTTTGTGACTTGCTTCACATACGTGACTTGGAGGTGAAGGGAAATACAGGGCCTGGGAAGAAAATTCCATCACGATGATGTGCAAGAAAAATGCATTTGAAACTTCCTGTATACTCAGGTGTGTGCTCTGGCGGTACTGAGACTTTGGCCTGGTACAGGAGAAATATTCTGGTCTTAAACTGGTAGGTTTCTCTTTTACATATATGACAGCACAACTACATCAGTTTAATTGACCTTGGCAGTCTGCATCTGCTAGTGGTATGTCCCTGAGGGACACTGCAGTTTTAAGCTGCATTTTATTGCAGAATCTTCAGTTCCTGTAAACAAAGCTATATGAAAAAAACCCTCTCATTGTGATATATGCCATCAATGTTTGCTGAAAATATTTATTGAAATTGTGATTGTCTTAATGAATTTAGTTTGAAGTGTCTGTGATTATAACAAAATAATTTTAAATGCATGATTAAAGTCACGTTAATATATATAGACAATATTTTTTCTAAGCATTTTTTGTGTATTTAATGCAGTTTGTATAATGCCATGCAGTATATTTTTTTTTATTTTCGTTTCACATCTATTTTATTTTTAAGGATAATAATAGTTCATGTGCAGAATTCCTATATATGCTGGTTAATAACATGAAAAAATCAAGATATCTTAATGCATGCTCTAAAAAAAATCAGAAATTGTAGTGAAAAAAGATATATATTGTCTTCATGTAAGCATTTAATTTTGATTGTGGTTTTATGGTTTTATTCTTAATATACGTAACAAGTTTCAAAGTGAGACTCACTTTGAAGGGTGTTCTGAGTTTAAATATTAAGTCAGGCTGGTTTTAACTTTTATTGAAATATATCTTTTTCATTAATATCATGAATTAAATTTCTTCAAAACCTACACATTTTGTCATAGCCAAATAGCTTTGATAGCAGAACATTTCTGTTGGGGAAAATGTTTCATCTGAAAATTTTCAGTCAGGTTTAATAATGACATGTCAAAAAGTAGCAGTGTATCATTTCTGTTGTGAGGGTTAATAAATGTGGGAAACAAATTCCAGAGATCTAAATTAATTTCTAGAAATTGTATTAGAAATATTCTTTTTTGGTTTTAAATGTCAAAAATTATAGTCTGCATATTAAGTTCCACAAGAGATTATATTGTCGGTTATTCAGGAGAAAAGTATGTTGATATGGTAAGGTCAGTAGAAAGCTATGGGGTACGGAAAAGGGAGAAAATTTATTTTTCCTTTATTAATGTTGCTCATTAACAGGATTTTCAGAAGTGCTGGCCTTTTTCCTGAGAGATAAAAAATGTCAGAATGACTTTGTGAATCACAGCTTCTAGGATGTGCAGTGTGTTCTCAGGGTGTAACCAGAAAAACATTAGCACCAATTATTTCTCCAGCCTGTGTCCAGTCAGTAACGTCTTGTGACGCTTGGGTACGTGTATTTGGTGCACAAGTCTGGCTTTGCACACAGGAACTGGTTACTTTTCTGATACTACCAGACTGCTGTTCCGTATAATGTATGCTGGTTTTCTGTCTGTGTCCTGTTAGTAATTCCATACATCCACGAGCCCAACAAAAATGTTTATGTATATGAAACGACTTCTCATTTCTACTGTAAATTTACATTTAAGTAAGTGAAAGAACTTGGAACTGCTTTTCAACTTGTTATCAGTATAAATTTGACAGATTTTAGCAACAGTTTTTTTCTTTCTTCTCTTAATATATTTGTCATTCTCTTTAACTACAGTCAGAGAGGCCATGGCTCCTATCAAGTTTAACAGATGGGGTCTTCCTGAAGTGGATCCGGAAACTATGCAAACAAGTGAACCCTGGGTTTTTGCAGGGGGTGACATTGGTGGTCTTGCTAACACTACAGTAGAATCAGTAAATGATGGAAAACAAGCTTCCTGGTACATGCACAGATACATACAGGTAATTTTTTTTAAGTATTTTTCTCTTTTCCTTTTTATGTGCTTTTGGTAACTTTAAAAATAACTTTGTTGTGGTTTAGATTAAATATGCAATTTTTGAGAAACTAATACCTAGACTATCTGGTGATTTGAGCGTTACAGATTCTTTCAACTTGGGTCATGTACTTGAGTTTGGATAGCTGAACCCAGCTTTCTTAACACTAAAATCTAAGCAATGTTATCTTGGCCTCAGCTCTGAATTCCACTCAAGGGTAGAAAGCCTTCCTGCACAATAAACAGTGCAAGTAGAAGTCCTAACTGTGGAATTAGGGAAAAGAAGTGAGCCCATTAGTATTGAAAAGTAAGGTTTCCCAATAGTGCATAAAGTAAAAATTACATACTGCTAATGTTGTCACTTAGGGAAGATATCTTTAGTGTACTAAGTTTACAGAGGACTCAGATTATCTACACTGGAACCGAAGTTTGCTCTGATGAGGCTGATAGGTCTCTGAGACCTAAAAGACTGACAAAAAATAAACACTGAATGCACAGAGGACAATAATGTAAAGTAGAATTTAGGTGAGAAATGTGAGTTTAAGGGGTACAGACTTGAAAACCCAGGTAACAGCGTGTTCCCTTTTGGTGCTCCTTGCATGTTGCTGACTGAGCATCCCATATGTGTTCATAATGCAAGGAACTTTTTAGAAATATGATACATGATTAATTTTCCCACAAAAAGATTTGAGCAACTGAAGTTGGGACTGTAACAGCTCAATTTATTTCTCCCCCATCCATCTGCTCAAAGCCTCTCTGATTGCATGTTTGTGCAATTTCATGCTGTTGGGGTCTGATTTCATTTCCTAAAAATACTTCAACTGAAAGCTTCTTGTTAGTATCTGTGCATATTTTTTCTCACTTGTTCTAAAGCTTTGTTTGTGTCCTGCCTTCTTAGACCCTATGAAAATGCTGAGTGTGAAACATCTTTAATCCTTGACCTGCTTGCTTAATTTCTCAGTGCACAGTGAATTTGGGTAACACTGATAGGGGGAGAGAGGGCTATTTCCTCCTTTTTGTCTCCTTCTTCTTTAACCTCTAGAAATACACACATCACCTAAAAACCCTCCTTTATCTTGTTGCTTCCTTCCATGCTTTTTTCCCCTCTGGAATGTATTTAATACTTTGGAAAAAATCTGAATAGTCATGGCTTGAGAATTAGAATTTTAAATCAAGCAGGCTTGTGATATTAGAGCATTTCTGTTACCCTTTGCAGGTTTCAAGGCAGTTTATTCAACCTTACAGTCTCACCAGGAAGCTAATGGGAAAGCCTTACAGCAATCTTCACAGGAAAGTTTCCAAATGTCAAGTGTCACCTTTCCAGCTGTTAGATGAATGGGTTGCCCAGGGGCACTTACTTGGATGTGCAGCCCTTGTAAATCTGGTTGATCTGGTGCAGAGTGCAGTAATTTGGCAATTTACTTCACCAGTGTTTGGACCTGGTAGAAATTTTAGTGACTGGAGCAGAGTTTGTTGTTTTAAAGAAGTCATTTAGAGAAGGATTGCGTGACCCTGATGTTTATAGGAATAGGTATGTGCATGTGTGCACGCCTTTGTGCACATGTGTGTGCACGTGTTCAATTCACAGCCTTGTATTTTGGAAACTTCCAATATCACATTAAAAAAACACCCTTACACACTCCCCTTTTTTCTCTCTACTGTGAGATTCGAAGGCAAGCAACCTTCCTGTGATCTGAGTGTCTGAATCAAGTACACGTTAAATTTTAAATACATTGATAACATCTATTCATTTGCGTTTTAGTTAGGGAAAAATCTAGCCATTTCCAAAATCGCCGACGATATCAGCACCAGCATCTATAAATAATGCAGACAGCCTTTAGCAAAATAAAACTATTCCATAGGATTTTTCAACCAACCCAGGACTGTGTCAAAGACTGAAACTCAAACTCACCATCCCAACTACTTTCAGAATGCACCGTTTGAACAGCACACTGCTGCTATCCCAACCTACTCCAGGCAAAAGGCTAAGCGAACAGATGGGCCCGATATGTGCCCTGAAACTCCAATCACTGCAAGCTTTGGCACGTGGTCAAGTGAAGCATGAGATCGAGACTCAAGGACTCGCCAGCAGAAATGCCTTATGTTCAAAACTGGGACTTATTTACAGAAGCTTCTTGGATGCTCTTATGCTGGAACCTTTCCATCATTAGTTGCCTAAATATCTCCTGCCTCTTAACATATTTCTCCCACTATATGAAACATAGGTTTATTTCAGAAATTGTTGCCTGCAGCTGTGTCAGGTTATTTTCTGTAAATGTGACCAAAGTCTAACTAAGGATAGTTCTAGTAGAATATGTTAGAAAATATAGTCAGTCTTCTTAGAACCATTCTTTGCAGGTCATTAGAGATACAAACAGAATCAGGTCAATTCATGCAACTATCTACTATTCACAACATTTTTTTTTTTCAGGATTCAACCCTTTTTGTGATTCCATGAACAACAAAAATTTCTATAAAATTATCTTGGTGTTTTATTTAGTTTGGGGACTGCAATAGCCCTCAGTTTTGTCCAATGGTGACTTCATGATCTTGTGCAGAAGCAATATAGGCTGCTGTTCTTTTCTATGCCTGTTATCATTCATTTATTTTTCATCACTGACTGGGATTTAATAATATAATAGTATATTCAGGGTAATTCACAATTATTGCAGAACTAACTTCTAATTTTCTATGCCTGCCTTGAGAGCAAAGACAGCTCTCACATTGTGATTATTCCAGTATTTTCTTCCTGGACCACTGAGCCAGCCTTGATGCTCCACTCCTGCTCCAATCATTCATTTACCTGTGGAGTGTTTTGCCATATGTGCCAGTCAAGCCACCATCTTCTCACTAAAATCTTTCTTAAAAAGTGACTTTTCCTTTCTGGTTCAGAATAAGTGTTCTTTTATTTAAATCTGATGGGTTTTTTGCTGTAATCTCCCTCGTGTGGGCAGGTTCTTTCATGTTTTTCCTAGACTGAAATGTACATGGTATACTGAAAGAATAGAGGGTTGGATCACAACTGATATGAATTGCATTCCACTAAGACTCTATTCAGAATGAATTTTGAGCACATCGCTCATATTTTGAACCAGTATTGCGTATTTGCTACTTTTTTCTTTATCTGGCAAAAAATACAGGGATTTTGTATCTGAAGAGTATAGTTGTTGATTCTTTTCTGAAGGTTGACCATTCTGATATATTGCTCAAGCATGCATGAATGTACATTATTTCATAATCAATACCTGAGATGTGTCGTTCCCAGGAAGCTTATCTTTGAAGCCGTTAGTTATGTTGTCTGCCTCTTTTCAGGATAACTGAAGAAAAAATATAATGTCCTTTTGTTTAGCCAGAACAACATATGAAACACTTTCATAAAGATGAGTAATAAAGCACGATTTATAAAAATGTAGACTAAATGTCAGTGCAGGAAACATGTTTTTTTACTTACTTACCACTGAGTAAATAATGTCTGTTCCAGAAACAGAAAGCCAGGAGTGAGCTTAGAGAATCTCTAACTGGACAGAGGCCTGAGCAACTTGCTCCAGTTCTCCCTGCTTTGAGTATTGGATGTTGCCCAGGCATTCCTTCCACAACCATTCTGAGATTATATGAAATAACGTATTTAACAGAGATTAAACGTATTTAACAAAGTTAAATAACAGATAATTTGAGAGAGAAGAGAAACACATGCAAGGGAGAAAAGAGATGTTTTAAGATCAGACATAAAAATAGAGAAAGTAGGAGTGAGATGAAAATATTCAGAAAAACTCTTCCAGGCAGCAGCATTTGTAGAGAAAGCTCTCTGTGAAAAACAGGAGTAATACAACTGTTCACTTTCACAGTCTGTATTTGTTAAAGGCCTCAAAACAGAGTTTGACCATATCACTGTGGTTAGGAATTTTCTCCATTTAAAGAAAATGAATGTCACTAACTGTATCAGGTCTGTAGCTGAGTTCCTGTCCCTCAGCCCTGTACTACAGGTGGTGCTGGTTTTGCCTCTAGGCATGTCCCAGTTAGAGTAACGTAGGGCCACTGCATGCAATGTGATGGGGATTTTTCACCACCCTGTTCCAGTATCCAAAAAATTACTGGGACTGGAACAGTACCTGCAATACTGTTACCTCAGCGCGTTGGCATCACATTAGAGGATTTTTTTTACTCTATTTTTAAAAATCAAAGGAAGAGCTATTATAAATAAACCTTTGCCTGCAAGCTTTTCATATTTGTTTGTGCAATGTCAGGGAAATCCTTCATTATAAAGATGATTTTGCTTTCAGGAAGCGATAAAACATTTTAGTTTGCCAAAAGTTTTGCTTTGTGGAAAACAACACATCAGGGATTAGTAGATTTATTTCTTTTTTAAGCACTGTGCTAAAAGGAAGAAGCAGCAAAAAAAAAAATAGAATAAAAGGGGAAGTGATGGGAAGGAGGGAGATAAATCTACTAGGATGTATAACCACTGGCTACTGGACCTTCAGCTGCACCCTCCACCCCAACCTTTTTACTTTGTTTTGTCTTGTGTAGGATTTATCTCCTGTTTTATCATAGGAAGGTCATGTTGGGTCTCTAGTTAAGAATCACTTTCAAGCAATGTTCATTTTAGGTGAGAACAACTTTTAGAGATTAAATTGTCCTGCATGGGAAAAGAAACGGTGCAATGTAACTTAAACTGTATATTAAGCACTTAATCTGTCTATAGCAGTCCATCTTTACACTTATATAAGCAATGAATAGTGGTCCGCAGACTGGAATATATTCACAGAGAATATTTGAACAATTCTGGATAGGAAATGAATTACCAAATAACTGCTTTCAAAATGGAAAATTAGGTGTATTACTTACATGTGCACATGGAGTGGAATTGGCCAATAACCTTTACATAACTCTATTGTCATTGTTACAGAATCAAAATCAAAGAGTTCAGTTCAGTGTTGGTTTCAGCAGATTTCCCCACTTACAAGTATGTAAGAGACCAAAAGTGCTAACATTTAAAAAATGCTTTAATTTCAATTGTGCGACCCAGTAAGTTCTGTTTTGGCATTGCAAACAACCTTTTGCAGTTGAAATGTTAGTTAAGATGACTGAAAAAAAAAAAAAGTTAAAAGGATGAAATCAAACCCAAAATAATCAAGTCAATGCTGCCTTTTTTTTTTTTTTTTTGCCTTCGATTTGTCAGTTAATTGTCAATTAACAAAATCTTTTGAGATACAGAGTGCTAGGCTGCTTGGTCTCCTAAGAACTTGGATCCATCTGGTGTAGGAAAACAGCGCTGTGGAATATGATGTGCAGGAAGCAGTGAGCACTCAGGAGGAACCTGGGGGCTGTCTGTGGGGTATTTTTTGGCTTTTTTTTTCTAAAGTGTGGCTGCCATCAGCTTCTAGCTGGGGGAGGTTACACGTCTAAGGGATCCTTAAAAATTAGCTTTTCTCAAAATGTGTACCTTTTTAAGGTCGCATTCGAGTTTGCATCATTCAGGCTAGGACAATTCCACTACTTCCAGTGCTTTTAAGCCATCAGAAAATTTATCACCCAGATTTATCCTCTCTGTCCAAGGAACCAAAGATCTGGGGTCAGAATCTGAGACACGAATCCAGGCAGTCCCAAAACAAAACAGACATGTAAACTCAGAGGTTTTGAAGCAGCCTAGGAAACAAAAGGCACTAAAACAAACAAACAAATCCTCATCCCATCCATGCTTATTAATTCTCACAAAGAAAGATGAGGTAAATAAGTTCTTAAAAAAAAAACAAACCCAAAAAAACCCAACAAACTCCTCCCTACCTCCCCCCGTTTATTAAAAAAACCAAACAAACCCAGCCAAACAAAAAAAAAAAAAACCCACCCAAAAGGCAGCAATTTGTAACTGTCTGAGGTTTTTACTATGTTACACAAAATCTTCCCTAAATCTGTCAGTAGTTCTCTTTGTCCTACTGAAAAAAAAAAAATAAAAACTTCATTTTACGAATAGAGAAAAAGTGCTGTGATGTTATGCTGGGGCTTATTAAAAACACAGACTGTGTAGGTCTTCTCTGTGTTAGAAATTCCTGCTTTATTTCTTCGTGATTTTATTGAGTCAGCCATCTGAGTGAGTAAAGATTTTAATTCTACCTACCAGAGCCTGTCTAGGATGCTGTTCAGTATCCATATATGGAAAAAGATTTTTGTCTCTACAGTATTTACAGCATGAGATGCAATATTTGCATTGAAAGCTTTTCACTGACTCTCCAGAAAAAAGGCTGTCTTTGAAATGAAAAAAAAAAGTGCGTGTGGTGTCACAGCCATAGTATGTCTGTTGTTCTTTGATCCTAAATCAGTCTAATTTTTGTCACCTTTAAAGTATTATTCATATTAATACAATTAAATATTAAAACAATAGTAGTGTTGCATATATTGATATGTATCCCTTTGCGTAGGCTAGAGAAAATCTTTAAAAGGGAGGAGAAAAGGTTGCAGGACTTCAAAATACATTGAGTTAGGGATGAGTGGTTCTGCATGTGGGTGCCTGCCCTTGTTTTTCACAAGTCCCTACTCTTCATGTAGGTAGGCACCTGGGAAGAAAACTAGAAAGAGTCTACCTGTGCATACCCTGGTTTATTTTTAATCTCACTGCTGCTGACTGTTGTAGGGAACAGAAGTGGCTGTTAAGAAAAGTTGGACAAACCTTTGGACTGAACCAAGCTAGCAGTACAGGATGTGAATTAACTGTTTCATTGTTATTATTATTCAGTTATTTCTAGCATGTCATAATATTTCGGTATGAATGCTATTTGGACAGAAGATGTTGCATATATAAGTGCAGGTTTTGTTGATTTCCAAGTCTGAAGACATAGAATATTTAAGCTTTAGGTTATTATATATGAATTATTCTCTTATCAGGGTTAATAATTTATATAAAATTGAATCAGAAAAAATAATCTGACTTTTGGTTTTTTTTACAGTCCTTATATGGTGTTGCAGTTTCTGCTGTTCCAGAACTACCACTCTTCTATACTCCTATCGATTTAGTAGACATCAGTGTAGAAATGGCTGGACTGAAGTTTCCAAATCCTTTTGGCCTTGCCAGTGCAACCCCTACTACTAGTTCTTCAATGATTCGAAGGGCTTTTGAAGCTGGATGGGGCTTTGCTGTCACTAAAACGTTCTCCTTGGATAAGGTAAGGAAACATTTTAAAGAATGTTTAGCATGTAACAATATCTTTGTATATTTGAAAAATCCGAATCTTTTCGGAATGGTGCTGTTATATCTAGCTAGCATAAAGATAGGAGGAAAAGGTATGGTACACACCTATGTTCATACATTGATAGGCAAGAGGAAAGAGCCTCGAGTTGCACCAGGGGGAGTTTAGATTGGATATTAGGAAAAATTAGAATGAGCTGGAAGGTGGTTGAGTCACCATCCCTGGAGATGTTTAAGAGATGTGTTGAGGTGCTGAAGGACATGGTTTAGTGGTGGTGTTAGCAGTGTTAGGTTAACAGTTGGACTTGATGAACTTAAAGGTCTTTTCCAACCTAAAAGATTGTATGGTTCTATAATTGTGTAGGTCAACTACTCTAGGAAGTTCCAACAGTGCAGTTTAAAGGTGATTTCTGGTTTTGTTTGCTGTTGCAGTCCTTCCTTTTATTCTCCTACTTTTTAATATGAGACAACTAGTAGGGGTAATAGTCTTTTCTTTTAAGTATTGCAGTGAAAATGTTTTCTGTGAGGTATCAGAATGCAAAGGGAATGAGTAACAGCTTTATCAAGCAGCTTATGAAAGGCAGCTTTTGTGCCAAGGACTGCCAAGATAAGCTGTTGAAATTTAGTTGCTGTTGCAATGTGATAATGTGGGGGTGTAAGCTTCAGGCTGGGCTGGTAGTGGAAGAGAAAGATGAAGACAACATAAAATAAGCCTATGAAGGGAAGAGTAGTTGTGCTGAAGGTTTGTAGTACAGTTACATAAACTTTCGGTAACATGTAGTGGAAGAGGAATGAGAATTAAGTGGCACCTAAAATAAATCATTTTGTGTAGATTGAAAGTGTGTAATTGCTTGTTTCCCCTAAGAATGGCATTCAGGATGGGTTTCCTGTCACTACATTCAAAATGGCAAAATGAGACAGAACAAGAAGTTTAGACACTGAAAGAAAACAAAAGTTTTGATAAATATATTGCAGAGAAATGTATTGCTGGGATGTAGATACAGTCTGTCTTGTGGAGGGAGGAAGAAGATCAAAGGTAAATCCTGAGGTATAGGCCTGAGTAACAGTGTGGTTGACAACACATTATCATTATTTAGTGACAAACTGTAGTGTGGGCTGAAGAGAGCTTTTGAGATTAATTTGGAAACAAGGAGCTTTTATTCTTGATTCAGGGATGGGATGTAAAAGTGTACTGCTGGATGGATACCTTTAGCAGTAGATAAAAGGTGGATTTGTTACTCTGCCACCTCTACATGTGTAAGTACCAGAAGTGAATTAAGTAGAGTTGCCCTCTAATATGAGGAAGGTCTAAGGACAAAGTGTTGTATTACTACAGCATACTGTAGAACATGTCAGACTGGCTTATGCTGTCACACCTGAAGCAGCCCTAAGGAAGTATTTTGGATTGTAATGGAGATTCCAATCTACTTCACAGGATTTCTTATTAAAACATTTTATAGGGCATAAATGTCATTTAAGTATGTTTACATCTGACTTAAGTGTAGAACATACCATCAGCTGTAATTATTCAGAGCCTAGACTAAAGGCAACTCATAGGAAGTACTGAGATTTATCAGATTTATTACTGGTATGCTCACAGCCTTGCCAGACTGCATGTTGATTACTGTGTATCACAAGAGCTAAACGGATGCTGGCTGAGCTCCAGCACGGGTGGGAGTTCAGGAGGAAAGACATGCAAGTCGTAGGGAATCATGTTGGTACTCTACTAAGCAGCAGGCTCTGAGTTGTTTCTCAAATGGTGACTGCAGTGTGTTCCACTGGATGCCATGCTCTGGAAGGGTGACTTAGATGGAGATCTTTCAGGTGAGAGGATTACTAAAATCAAGTATCTCAAGTGGTTATAAAATACAAATTTTTTTTTTTATCTTGCAATAACATGTAAAATACTGCAGGCAGTATTTATTTTAAAGAAGAAAAGTTCAGAAAAGTGCTTTGGATAAATTCTAGTCCAGTGATCGTTATTTATAGCTAAGATTTCTTCTAAAGTTCAGTACGAGGCACTAGGGTTTTTTTCTGGTGTCCAAACTCTTGAATCATGCCTTGCTGGGTGCAGTGTCCCACCCAAGTGTTAACTTTGAGACTGATTTGAGATGCTGGGCTGCAAGGTGCTGCAGAAATAAAATTGCTTTTATTTATAACAGTAGCATGGTAATTAATGCTACAAAAAGAAATATTTTAAATGGGAAGAAAAGCTCAATGGGATACAGCAGTTCTTGTGTGAACAACGAGTACTACGCAAAGACTGCTTTTGATGACTTCATGCTATAACAAAGTCTTGGTAGAGAGTTGGGAATAATATAGGTTGGTGTCACGTGCTAACTTTTTTTTTTAAACTAAGCTTCTGATTATGTAGGTGTAAATTTTTTGTAGTGTTCAGAAGAGAGCGGAATGCTCTCTTGGGCTGCTGTACCTATGACGGTAGAGATTTCAGTCTGAGCTGTCCTGCCCAGGTAGCCACGGCTAACTGCGTAGGAGCACCAGGAACAAAGATTTCCTGATCTAAGCCTCAGAGTCAGTGGGAGGAGGCAGAGCTGCTCCCCAGACAGTACAGTTCCCAAGTGTGGAACAGCTTCCTGGAGGAAGGGAGCTCGCTAGACAGTTTTTGACAGCTGAAGCTCCTTCACTTCAGCCTTGATTGTATGTGAATCAAGCAAGATTTTGTGTTCATCCCTCTTAGCTCCTCATTTTATCTGTCCTGGTTAGGTTTAACTTGTGGATTTCCTTCCTGTTTGCAACAGTTAAAGGCTAAGTATAAACCGCTTGTGTGGCAATGAGGAGCTCAGCAGCAGGAGAAATACTCCTTTTTCCAGACCCGGTTACGGAATTCACCACTGTGTGCAATCACCGACTGGGAAACCAGTGACTTCCCCTACTGACCATGGGCACCCTTTGGCCATTCAGCAGAAGTGACTGATGTGTGCTAAAGTTGAGTGATGTATAGCTAGTGAAAAGCATATATGGCCTAACCACTGATTTCCGTGCATTAATTACTGTGTGATGGAATAAGATCAGAGAGAAAAGCAGGACAAATCCTGGAAGAAGCAAATCCAAGGACAGAGATAAAAAGGACTCAAGATGGAGAGCTTTGATCCTCTTAAGACAGGGGATTTATTTCATATGAACTTCTACTTTTCCCTTTTTCACTACCTACCACGGAAAACTCTTCTAAAATGCTAGGCAGGGGATCCCTGCGCTCCATGAGTGGCCATACTTTCTTCCAGAGGGGAACTGTTGGATAGCAGTGCTGTAATTCTAGTCTCTGGACCATAATTTACTCCCCCAGTTTTCCCAACCCTCATCTGTCTTGGCCTCACTTTGAAAGCATCACATGTTGCCACAGAAGGAGTTAGCACAGCACTCGCTGTTTCATGTAGTGCTCCCGCCCGCTCCAAATACCCACGTACTTCGCTGTATCGTTGCCTTCGTGAGAACCTGTGTAGCGCTTTCTGTTTGTAGGGTGAGGATTTCAACTCTCTGTGATTCAGCAAAAGTTTGTTCTTGCGTACAACTCTACTATTGTTGAAATGTAAAAAAAGCTAACGTGAGAAATAGCTGAAAATCCTTCAGGGTTTTTGTACCTTTAAGCATACTGCACTCTAAATATTTTAGAAGGTACTGGATATTATAGTGTAATACAAATATGAATTATAGGGTACTGTACTTGTATGTGTCTGTAGGTACCTGTGGGTTGGACAGGGACTTGTAGAATTCTATTTACCAAATTAAACATCCTTGCATAGCTGCTTTTGTACCAAATAGATTTTATTTCTTCCAGAAATGAGAATAACTGCTGTTAAAATGGACAATCACAGCGAAAGACAAATGATAGCAGAATGAAAGTGCCCCTTCACACAGCTTTTCTTACATTCATGTCTTCCCTTTTTGACTACAGGATCAATAGCTCATTGCTCTGTTGGTTCAAACAGTATTTCTGTCTAACTCAGATAACTCAGTGCCGCAACGTATTATTTGTAAATTCTGCTGGCAAGGTATTGATGGAAAATGGGGGAGCTGCATATCATAGAGTCCACAATAAATGAATACCAATTATTACCTCTTAGGGCTTAGATGAACAGAAAACTACCCAAAGAATAAGAGATACTGCATTAATTAAACAAATAACTGCGAGTGGGAGTTTTTTAGTAGCAGTGTTATAGTGAGCTAGTTTATTTACTTAGAATTTTAGTGGTGTTTAGAGCACAAAATTTGCATTAAAATCTTTCTGATTAAAGTTTTTTATAAACTTAGGATCAGAATAAGTCAGAGGTGGTATGAAGTGTGCACGTTTCTATGCCATATGCATTACCACAGTGAGAAGTTTATAGCAAAATTTTGGTTTTATCAACTGAATTCAGGCTTTATTGTTCTCTCACTCCATTGTTAAGGGCTGCTTAGAAGGAGGAAAAAAACAACTGGGATAGCAGAAATATTTGCTTTGATTTTTAGGTGCTTCCTTCACTTCTAAAATTTAATTCTGATTAATCAGATACATCTGTCTTTATTCTGTTGTGACATGCATTGATTTGTGATGCTGTCACTTTCAGTAATGTGGAAACAGTTGCCTTTGTTATGAGAACTGGCAAAAATCAACATGCAGACTAACCACTTTTAATCCTTATTTTTTTTTTTATTATGTACGGAGCAAGTTGCATGGATGATTTTAAAAACAAAGCTACGATTAAAACTAGATGAAATTTGAAATAAACCATAGTGGAGAAAACTTTCTAGTCATAATATATGTTCATACAACTCCTTGATGTAGATTTTACAATATGTTTTCAGAACCATTTCTAAATTAAAACCATTTATGGTAGGGAATTAATTAATTTACTCAGGATATATCATGTTTCTATGTGCTGTTATTACAGTATATACATATTCAGGCTCCAACTAGCTCTCTCTGTGCATTTGCACTGTGTGCACCTCGCTTCATAATTGAAGGTGGTAAAAAAAAAT